ATTGTGTTATTTTTATCATTATCATTGATATCAACATCACTATCGTTAATCATATTACCATTCTTATCAACAGCATAGTCGTTGAAATCATTAGCATTACTACTGACATTGCTTGTTTGTGTCTTTATAATTTCCACTGTTACTGATCATCAAATTGTTCGCTGTCCACATCACAGCGTACCTCTCATTCCTTATGTTCAAGCCAATCCGTAATCTCTTATAGCGAAATGATTTCACGAATCGGATACATTGATTCAATTTGTAATGCGTTTAATTGTGCTCAAAAAATATGCCGATCGAATGTATCGATTCATAATCAGTATATGTTGATGGGTTAAGATGATGTTGCTGTACGATTACCATTTCAGATGTCAAAGTTGTTTTCAATAATATTCAATTGAGCGAACTGATATCGCATGTCACAATAAGTTAGGGGAATTTATGAATGCAATTGTCATCACTATGCCCTTGCAATGATTGATGTGCGACAACGTGCGATTCCTTGAATGCACGACGCATTAGTGCATGGTAAAATCAATCGCTCGTGATATGGTGGTGGTGGTGGTTAAACTTATCTCAACATTTTCATTTAGTATTATTGCAGTGCCCAATTTTAACCTTAATCAATTTTTCCACTCAATTTAAACGTGCAATCTTGACTGAATCATTGTAAAGTTGTTGAGCATCAAGCAAGCTCGTGATTACTGTTTTCGGTTTTCCCAAACCTGACGATGTATTCGACCGATTTCTGGCATCTATTATTTCTCATTCAAGATGGCTGATCACAAGATAAAGAAGCGTACCAACGAAATCATCGTCATCATCATCATCGGCTGCTGCGTCATTGGCCGACGATCCAAGCAGTACAGCAGCATTCGGCTTGATCTGTCGTTTGCCCGGTCCTCTCGATGCTTAAATTTTTATTTTGCACAAATTTAGCAATAAATCAAAAACGATTCCCGATTGGCAGTGAACAATGGTAACACAAGCACCCAACTGGGAAAACTTCTTGGCTTTACGGCGATTCATGTGGCCAGATATATGAGAAGGTAGCTGAATCTGGAGATGATGGATCACAGTGCGCTTGTGAAACTGCCTTCAATTGTGTTCGCATGAACATAAGGCTTTTGCAAACTTATAAGCTGATTTCTTCGGTAGTGACACAGGTGGTTTTGACAATGTTTTGGTCAAGAAAAGCGAGATTCTCTAACAACGATCTG